TATGTTACTTTTTGTTTTCACTCTACCGTAAATATTAAGGCTTGCAAAGATGAGTAGAACTCATTTTCGTCAGCCTATCAAAAGTCCACTGAAATGAACATAGGCCTCCCCCATAAATTGTGAAATAGGCTGGATATTTACTATAGTTGCCACGCTTGGTAGGCGGGTTGGCAACCGCAGCTATAATTATTTTGATCTGTTGTGAAAAAGATGATGCAGCCCATCCCATCTCCAGTTTGTTTTGCTATTTCGCCTGTTACGACGGGACAATATGAGGTGGTGGATTTTCTTTCACCGCCACAACAGGGTGAACATTTTTCTACTCCCGTTCATGGGCGTAGTACTCCTCACATTAACTGTGAAATTTATAAGAGGGGGCAAACGAGTATGCGGCAAGCGCGCAACACCAGGATGATTTGCAGGCGTTGCCGGCCTTTTAGGAGTAAACTCTTTCTTTGAAGGTCCCTAAGTCGTATTGGTCTGAAAATCCGCCAGTAAACGATTCCACAAAGAGGTTGTACAAGGAACATTACTCGTAGTAAAACGCACAGTAGTGGAATGGAATGCAATAAAACTAATTTTAAGGATTTTATCGCGTTTAATTTTAACTTTTCAAATTCGCGATGTTTTGGGAACTTTACAGCACCCATGGTTATGGGAGGGGCTGGAGAACTGAGGTGTTTAACGACCTGATGTCATTGTTAAAATAGAATAGAATAAATGCAGTAGTAGTTTGAATTTAATTTTATTAATTATATTATTCTATTATATATAATATAATATAATAGCCTCGCGAATCACTATTGGTTGGATCCGGTGTTTTATTGCAAGGATTTGTTTTCTATCAGATCCGATATAATGGTTGGGACGATAGGGTCGTTGCGCCGGTAAGCCGACCGGGTCTAGTTTTCGGCCTTTGGCACCAGGTGATGCAGTAAATTTGATTTAATAACGATTTTAATAAATATTAACGTCCAAAATCAAGTTTAATGCATTTGTAAATAGTTGCATTATATATTGCAACATTACTTCATCGGGTAAACACAACACGCGATTTATAATAAATAGTTCAGTTTGACGCCGGCACAGGAGTTGCCAAAGAGTGTAAGATCGTGCAAAAAAAATAGTGGCGCGCGTTTCACTCAAAAGTAAATTTTGCGCTGTATTTACAATGATTATTTAATATTGTACTTATATTTTACTATATAAATAACTTAATTTCAAATTTTCACATAGATTACTATAATATTTTATTGTAAAAGTTAATAAATTAGGTGGCCGGAAAGTGACACATAAAATGTTTCTATTATTTGGTTATCGGCCATGTGGCCGGAAAGTAGCCCGAGCTTAGCCTAAATACTTTGTCTCTTTTATTTATTTGGTTACCTACTATTAGTCTTCTTTCTAATTTATAATGAATTGTATCCTTGCGAAGACACTAGCTTTCAGTTTTCGGCCACCAAATACTGCAATTTGAATGATTATTGATGAAACTAAAAGACCCATTTATTTGTGGCCGAAAACTAGATTAAGTCTAAAATTATTATTTAGTTTTCGGCCAACTTAAAAATGTATGAAAGAATAGGGAAGCCGAAAATTGAATACTGCTTTGGTTGACGGCCATTTCATGAAATATTTCATTCACGTTGAGTTTTAGGAAGAAGATTCAATAAGATATTATTTTCTTCAGATGGCTCCTTCAAAGAAAAATCCTCCAAAGAAATATAATTAGTAAATGGTTTCAGAAAATGTGAACTTAATAAATTTTATCACCATGTAGTGGATTATTTATTTATTTTATTTTTTTTATTTATTTATTTGGTTCACCAACAAATGTTACACTGATATATATGCTTAATTCTAATATAGTAATATAAACTAAGTGCACATTCAATAATAGGTGAACACCGCATGCTTAGTGTTCACAGCATCTCCTACAAGCCGTTACCAAATAGCTAAAAATATACGATACAAACTTAAAATAAAAGAAAATAAACAAAATTATAAAATTAATACAAAAAAAAAATATTTTTTTTTTTTACAAAGAATCATTAATATTTTGATAAATTTTGTGCCGAAAATCATTAAAAGAGTCGTGGTGAATATCTACTACATTATTATAGGTATTTAAAAGTCTGGAAAGTCTGGATATTGGGGAATTAAATCCTAGTACAGTTCTACGAAGAGGCGGCGAAAGAGGAGTAATGATTTTACGAGGATATCTACTTGGGATACGAAAATTAAATTTACGTAGTAATAAAGGGCAATCTAAGTTATTTCTAAATATTTTATATAAAAGTTGCAAATCCAGAATGTCCCGGCGTTTTGATAGTGATACCATTTTAAATGACTTTAATCTATCTACATATGATGCATTTTTATATGCTTTTCGTGTTGAAAAGGCAAGATGCCATAAAAATCTTTTTTGTACGCGCTCAAGGCGAAGGTTATGGGTAGAATAATGGGGACGCCAGACTGTGCTACAATATTCTAATATACTTCTAACAATTGAGAAGTATAAAAGTTTTTTTGTGGTAACATTACGGAATTCTTTACTATTTCTTATAACAAAACCTAATGCTTGAGATGATCTTTTAATTACATTTTCTAGTTGTGGTATAAATGTAAGCTTTTTATCAAATACTACACCCAGGTCCTTAACTGTTTCCACTTCCTGGATAACTACACCATTGAGGGTATAAACTGATGGGAAAATATTATTTTTGCGAGTGAATTTAATATGTGCACATTTTTTTAGATTAAGAGTCATTCCATAAACATCACACCATTTAGAAAGTCTAGTTAAATCCTCCTGAAGAAGTATCATATCTGACGATTTATTAACAATTTTACAAAATTTTAAGTCATCAGCATACATAAAGCAATTGGAATGTAAGAAACAATTAGGAATATCGTTAACAAATATGTTAAATAAAATTGGCCCCAAATGTGATCCCTGGGGAACTCCGGATGTGATGGGAAATATGTCAGAACTGAATCCATTAACAACAACATAATAATTTCGACCTTTTAGATAAGACCTTAACCACGCGAGTATAGGGTCAGAAAAACCATAAGTTTCTAACTTTCTTAAAAGCATAACATGTGATACTCGGTCGAAAGCCTTACTGAAATCGGTATATATTACATCTATTTGCTGTTGCATGTCTACAGTTTTCACCAACGTTTCAACAAACGTAACCAAATTAGAGCAAGTCGAACGAGATTTGACAAATCCATGCTGATCATCTGTAATAAACTGTTTTGTATAATTTTGGATATAGGGACATACTAATGATTCAAATATTTTGGGAAAGGTTGATAATATTGAGATCGGTCTATAATTGCTAACTAAAGTATCATCATCCGCCTTATGTATAGGGACAACTTTTGCGAGCTTCCATATATCTGGAAAGCATCCTGTTTGTAAGGATTTGTTATATATAAAACAAAGAGGAGTAGACAGTTCTATGGCACATTCAGCGATGAAATAAGGTGAAATAGAGTCTGGACCAGGTCCTTTTTTTCGGTCTAAGCCCTTTAATTTTTTTAAAACTGATTTTTCATCCAAAACCAAAGTGCCAAAATGATAATTATTATTATCTAAATATGTTAAATATTGGTTATTTGAATCATTTTCATTAAGACCATTTGGATTGTCTACGGTGTATACTGAGGAGAAATGTGAGGCAAAATGATTGCATATATCAGTCGCATCTGTTGTCATCACACTACCATTAGACATTGCACTCGGATACTTACTATTGCCATGCCGTTTATTTTTGATGTAAGACCAAAAAACTTTTGAATTTGTAACAATATTATCTTCTATAGATTTTATATAAACGTTGTAGCAGGTCTTAGCTAATTTATCACATCTCTTATTAAGTAACTTTAGGCTGAGTAAATCCATTGCGTTATTATATTTTTTGTGTCTACACCTAACCTTATTTTTTTCCTTTATTACGTTAATCAGACTTCGACTAAACCAAATGGGATATTTATCACTTTTGATCGTACTCCATGGAACAAATTTTTCTATTGCTAAATTTACAATTTTGTAAAAAACTGAAACAATACTATTTATATCATTTAGCCCCATGAATAGCATATCCCAATTAATTTTACTTAAGTGTTCACGAATTTTTTCATAATCAGCTTTATAGAAATTGCGCTTTTTGACATTAGAATTGTATTTTAGTTTTCGTGTTTCAGATATAAGTAGTTGTATTTCAATCGGAGGATGTAAAGGATCTATGATGGTCAATATATCGTTTGCCTCATTAACAGTGCAATGTAAACTATTTATTAGAACTAAATCGAGAATTCTCCTCATTTTATTTTCGACGAAATTGTACTGTCGTAATTTATTAATATAACAGAAATCTATAAGACTTCGAGCCTTAAAGGGAGCAGTATAATTGCTATTCAAGTCATTGACGAGTTTCCAATTAACGTCAGGTAAGTTAAAATCACCAACTATGCAAGTCCTTTGTTTCAATTTATCAAACAAAGAATTACAGTTACTAAGAAAACATTCCAATACTCTAGACTGAATTGGTGGGGGAATATAGACAGCACAAAGGGCAATTGGAAAATAGTTCTTTCCGTCTGTCAAATCTAGTGTAACCCAAAGATCTTCACATTTACCTTCCCACATAATCATTCTTTTTGACTTGATTCTACTAGATATAGCTATCAATACTCCTCCACCATCCTTATTTGAATGAAAACCGGTAGTTTCCCTGTCCCTTCTATAAACTACATATCTGTTACCAAATAGCTCATTACTAATAATCGTATCATTCAACCACGTTTCAGTCAATATGATGATATCGTAATCGAAATAGCACAATTTACGGTAAAAATTTAGAGTTTTTGTTCGCAAACCACGCACATTCTGGTAGTAAATACTTAACTGTAAATTATTGTATTTTAAATTAAAAAAAAAAAAAATATTCAACATACATTATCCTTAGATCTATATATAACTAAGAAGATTATACTAATTTTTCCAGGAGACTCATGTTTTTGATGAGGTGATACTTGGAATTGTCATCCTTTCTCATGTAGATTCGTCCATTCCTCACCCAAACGTATTTAAAGTTATTTTCTTTCGCTTTTATCCTGGCGGCTGCATGCAAAGCTTTGTTAGCTGGAGACAAATGCTCCAATATATAAATAGGAATCTTATTTCCGGGAATACCGAGATGAGTTGAATTCAGCTTGTTGGAGACATCTATTTTATTAAACTTAATCGCTGAAGCCAAGAACTGATCGCGTATGAAAGGTGTTGTAAACTGAACAATAATTGAACGTGGACGGGGGCTGCTCCGATTTATTTTTGCAATGCGTGTACAGTTTACAATTTTATCATCACTTATGTTGCAGTTAATGACCTTACATATATCCTTAACAATATTTAAGACATTTTCCGTCTTCCTTTCTGGAACACATTGGATTTCTGCATTTGATGATCGTGCGCTTTGCTCCAGTTGGTTGACACGTATCGTTAGTTCTTGAACAGCAGATTTTACTTTGCAGTTTTCATCCTGAAGCTCTTTATAACTCTTTTTCATAGCTATACTTTCCATTTTACACTCTTCAAATTCAGCATTCATAAACTCTATAGATTCCTTTACTTTTGATAATTCTTCACTTACATCCTTTAGTTGCTTATTCAATGTGTCTAGTATACTTTTACTCATTTTATTGTAAAGGCTCTCCATTTCCTTCTGTATCACAGTCTGCACTATTTCTTTTACTTCCTCTGTAGTCACTGGGGTATCACTGCTTTTGCATGGGGGGGAACATGGTTGTTTTTTATTTCCTCTGACAGTAATGTTCCTTACTGGCGTATTGTCATCCTTCCCCGTTTTCGGAGCCTTACTTGTACATAATGGACACTTCCAACCATATGATGACTCTGTCATGTCTATATTTTCAGGTAAGGCTAGACAAGATTTGTGATAAACTTTTTTACAATTGGTACAACGCAGGAATACATCATGAGCAGATCCTCCATCACAACAACCCCATGACAGCTTACCTCTTGAAATCGGAGTGTTCGGCATTGCGAAATATATAACTACAATATTAAAATTCAATGTAGTCAAGTATCATAAAAAAAAAGAAAGAATGAGAAATATAAAACAAAAAGAAAAAAAATCGTTGTAGGTTTGATCTTGCACTACTAAGATAATATTTTAGAGAGTTTAACCAATCTGCCACTTTGTTGCGTTGACTAGGTGTTTAATTTTACGCCTGTATATGATGTACGCGATATTCATACATGAGTAGACGGGTATATGTTAGACTTGATTATTTATCAGTCACAAATACCGTCACAACACTTATTATACACACTAATTGCCACTGTATTTAGACTATATTTTACTTTGCAAATACGTCCATAATTAACAGAGAGGTTTAAAAAGCTCTTTAAACTTCGACACACAACAAAAATACACCATTAAACAGTTTTAATCAATTTTCAAAAGCTGGGAACGAAAGAGCGTGTCCGCGTACGTGTTCAATATGGATTTACTCAAATTACTCAAAATGTGTCCGGAATACCCCGGAAAGACTAATTAGTAAAAATTCAGACACCAGAAAAATATATTTCTAAAGAAATAAATAACGCAGACCTAGTGGAAAACAAGAAAAGTTTTGATTAATGTTCTAGTAACTATGAACTCATCTTCCGATGCATTAGAATCGTTTATCGATAACAAGATTTCAACATTGCATTTGTCAAGAAGTTATTTGGATATCGGTTCCTTAGTTTGGTTAGATGATGTTCTTGTAATCCCAACTCAAATAAGCCTACCAATGACAACAGTACTGACAATGCCGGAAATGGTAATAGATTCCAGTAATGCAATAATAACGACTCAAAGTAGTACAATGGCCACGATGATACCACCACCACTAACACCGATGATAACAAACAACGCCTTTGAAACTTTAGAAAATGTGCTGGTTGATATTCCTGTAAAACAGACTAGTACACCTCTACAAACTAGTGCAACGTCGGCTTCAGTACTATTAAATAAAGAATAGAGTTGCAATAGAAAAAACATTTATTTAAACCGGAACTCGTAACAAAATCAATCATTAACAGTACACGTACACCTTCTCCTGTAGCAAATTGATTTGCAGAGTGGCGAAAACTTTATAAAGATAAAGAGAAATTTAAAATAGAGAAGTTTGAACTAAGTTAAAAAAGATAAGATATTTTGAAAAAGAAAAGAATATAAAAAGAAAAGTTAAAAAGTGCTAAAGTTCAAAAACGAAAATTGCAAAATCCAAGAATTCCATGAAGTAAAATGAAAGAGTAAAAGTAAATTGCACCTGGTGTTATGACATTTTAATAAGCGATACAGAAGAAGATATGGGAAAAAAATTGGATGTGAATTTTGCACCAAATCGTTTTGAGATTTTGTAGGACTAAAATATGAGGCAGCGTTCGGGAAATTACAGCATATTTTCTAGTCAGGTATACCTCAAAACGAGACTGTGCAACCAGTACGTGTTGCCAGTGATCACCTATGGAACTGAGACGTGGTCCTTCACTGCTGGCCGGATGAGGAAGCTCAAGATTGCTCAGCGAGCTATGGAGAGGGCTATGCTCGGGGTTTCTTTGCGTGTTAAACTTAGAAATAAGGATATCTGTAGTAGATCCAGAGTGACCGACATAGCCCAACGGGTTAGTAAGCTGAAGTGGCAATGAACCGGCTATATAGCTCGAAGAACCGACAACCAATGTGGAAAAAGGTTCTCGAATGGCGGCCTCGTAACGGCAGACGAAGTGTAGGGCATTCCCCCACTAGATGGAGTGACGACCTGGTAAGACATGCAGGAAGTCGATGAATGCAGGTGGCTCAGGACCGTGTTTTGTGGCATTCCTTGGGGGAGGCCTACGTTCAGCAGTGGAATTGTGAAGAGATGTAATGAAAAGGCTGATGATGATGAAAATATGAGGAAGTACAAAAAAATGAGATTATTTGATTGCCATATTTAACGACACGAAATTTTATTATAACTGTACAAAAATTATATAAAGTTAAGGTTAAGGCACCTTTTCTATCGTGTCTAATGCAGCGGCCGAAAACTAAAATTCTTGTGGGCCGAAATTTAAAATTTGGGGCCGAAAACTAGCATTTTATATATTTTTCACATCAAAAATTATTATAAAAACGAGATTTTTCTTGTAGCATCAATGAGTTACAAAAATGAAAACTACATTATGTAAGCTACAAATTAACATTAACAGCACTAGTCCAGCATAATGGCAATTATTTTTTCTAGTACCTTAAAGTTAACAACTCCACTAAAAGGCCGAAAACCAGCGCAACGACCCTACTAAATATGTTGACATACTTTAGACTACCCGGAGCTTCGGTGCTTCACATCAACGATATGTTCTTTTACTCGGAACTTTCATGCAAGATGCGTAAAAAAACCCGTAACATTCATTTTAATCCATGTGTAGTATTTATTATTATAGAACTTTATTTATGAAATTTTCAAGTCTACTCCAAGTAAAAAAAATTCTACATCTATTTTATGGTGCCAATCAATATTAAATAAGATCAATGATATGAATAAAATGTCTCAAATAAACATTACTTATATTACTTTGTTAAAAATAAATTAACTTAACTATGAATCATTTGTAAAAAGTAAAATGTAAATAATAATAATACATTTTGATTTCAAGACTATTTACCTTTCTTATGGATACATCGGAATCGGAAGACACGCCCGATATATAAAAAATGGTAGGTGCTTCTAGACATATGTATATATTCAAGTGTTTCTGTAGCATGTTACCAATTATCTACGTCTAATAGTATTTTAGAAAGAAAATCTTTGATAGACATAGACACAGAGGTGACTAAAAGTGATCGAATCTTTTTAAATTTGGCACGGAACAGCATTTAATGATGTTTCTAAATTCAAGCGCACGCGGGCGAAGCCGCGGGTAAGAAGCTAGTATATAATATATACAGTTTAGCCAAGAACAAGCAAGAATAATGTTAATTTTTATGTTAGGAAGGTTTAAATCGCCAGACACCAAATTTGCCTAATTTCGTTAGGTATAGCCAGCATACATAGTTTACAAGATGATTTTAAATCTATACAACATTTTAAAATAACATAATGTAACATAATCTTCAACATTTTTCAGGGCTAGCAGTGACATTGTTATAGATTGCTTACCGGTTTCATCATCATCATTCTAGACACAAAACTACTGAAGAACATTGGCCTCCTCAGGGAATGCCAAAAACACAGTTTTAAACCACCTGCATTCATTGACTTCCTGTATGTTTTAGCAGGTCACCACCCCATCTACTGAGAGGGCCGTCATTCAATTCGCTTACTGGTACAAGGATGACACTTGAGAACCTTTCATCCTCATTTTCTATTAGTTCTTCGAGCTATATGGAAGGGTCAGAGCCACCTTAGTGGTCCATTGAGATATGCCTGTTACTTTGATTCTACTGTAGATATCTTTATGATGAATTCCATTATGGATTAGCCCTCTTACTCCATAGCGTGCTGAGCAACTTTAAGTTTCCTCAAACGGCCTGAATTAAGGGATTTCAAATATATGTTCATGTCATAAAGAAAAGTGAAAAAACAAGCCAAATCAAGGTGAGCCTTGCTCAATTAAGATTCTGTATATATTATCATTATGATGAACAATCAAATATATTGCTTCCAAGTTAGAAAAAATAGGAAAAAGAGAAAGAAAAAGACCTTTAATAAAATGTACATTTGTTTTAGTGAAAGCTTAAAACCTAAATTAGTAGGTGGGTAAGATTTCTTCTCTGTGTAGGAGTGCATTTGGTTGGGTATCGTCATATTGCCCATTTGTGATACACAATAGCAGCGCTTGCAAGCTGTGTTGTGTTTCTGTCTGAAGGGGATAAAGAGCTAGTGTAATTACAGGCTATGAGGCAATTCATATTGGTGTTCTCAGAGTTGCAACACATCTGTAACCTTCTTTGTTTGGCGTTAGGTGTCCATGCACTGCAGTAGCCACTTACTGTCACATAAGTAAAGTTATTTGTTTGCAAATTCAGTTTTATAAAAAAAATTATCAATTATAATATAAAGAAATTTCTAATTTCTAATTATAAATAGTTTACTTTTTGAAGTAGACCAAGTAACATTTAACTTAAATTAAAAATTTTAAAAACTCCCAAAACAAAATGAGCTGATGATCTTCAAAAGGCTGAAAAGATTTTCTTAAATCATAGCTAAGAACACTCTCGATCAAGTCACCTTTCAAACAAAAAAACTAAATTTAAATCGGTTCATCAGTTTGGGTGCTACGATGCCACCGGCAGACACATAGACACATGTTAATCAGATTGTTTGCATCAGGGGTTAAACAACAGTTTAAAACTGATAACTTTGAAGACATTCAATATCTTAATTGTGGAAGGTAAAAAGAACAAAATATATTTGTTCTCTAGCCAATGTCACCCCAGGTAGGTTAAAAAAAATTAAAGGCTCCTTTTTCTTGCACAGGACCACTCCTAATAATAATTTCATTGGCTTTCTAATTCATCATATTTAGTTTTGGGTCAACTTACACCAAATACCCAAATTTCAGTTCTGTAACTCATTTTATTTACAAGCTACAGACAGACAGATAGATTGAAAGATAGATACACAAACAAACAAGCATAGTGACATTAATTGGGCTCCATTTTACCCTTTTGGTATGGAACACTAAAAATCAAAGATGTTTTGTAGGTCCAGATACCGTGTTGCTAACACACCGCAACGTTCATAGTGAAGACAGTCTTTGATTCATGTGTGCGTGAGTACCACGTGACGCGCATATCTTACGCACCATGGTTGCATTAATGTGCGTGACTTCGGTAATAACAGTGCGAATCGATTACCCAAAAAATGTGGGAGATTTTATATTTCCTTCCTATTGACGTACCTATTGATTCTAAGAGTATAAAATGTGTGTGCGTGGCGTGTGCATTTGTGTGTGTGTGTGTGTGTATGGGGATATGGTTGCTTATGTGTGTTTTATGTAGGTACG